AATTTTTCAGCTTAACTTTAACAAGGTTTAATTCTTCTGCACAACCTTTATGAGAAAATGAGAGTAAACAGAGTATGACCTATAGGGCCGTGAGCACAATGTCTCTGAGACTCTCTAGGAAAGGCTTCAAAATACAACCAAGAACAATCATCCCAAATGTGAATAAAGACATGTGTGGAGATACAGAAAGACTGGGGGAGTATTGCAGCTGAGGCATTTCATAAATTTTTAGTGATTAAAAATGAGAAGAGGATAAATAGATGAAAGTGTATATGTGTGCATACGTATAATTTAAAGTTTTATTAGAATCTCTTTTTCATGGGCGCCTGGGTGGCTCAGATGGTTAAGTGTGTGCCTTCGGCTCAGGTCATGATCCAGGGTCCTGGGATCGAGTCCCGCATCGGGCTCCCTGCTCCTTGGGAGCCGGCTTCTCCCTCTGCCTCTCTCTCTCTGTCTCTCGTGAATACATAAATAAAATCTTAAAAAAAAAAGAATCTCTTTTTCATGAAACCATTGCTATTTCGCTCTTATTTTAACGACTAATATTTTAATTATGGTTTCCTTCCCATTCTATTTCTTCACCAGCCTGACTGCCATGGTATCACCAGGGTAATCTAAAAGATGACTCTTATAACAAAACTGAACTAAAAAATTATAAACCCTGGAAGAGGATAAGATAGTCATTTTACAGGGCAAGAAAATCACAGTAAAGAAAGTTTAAAAATAGAACAAAGAAAAATGTAAAGCTGACACAAAGTCAGAGAAATAGCAGGGAGACCAGAAATCAAGATCAGTCAAAACACCTAAGAGAACAAATAGAGATGAAAGACAAATAAGGAGAACTCTCCTTCCAGGAAACCCAGTCTTCTGATGACTGTGTTTCTTTCTTTACAAGATTAACAATTAACATTATTATAACTGCAGGGCATGCAAATAAACAGCATCAGAAGTATCGTAATAAAAAAATTTATTCTGTGTCAGAAAGTAAAGAAATAAGTTTGTAAAAAATCTAACAATTGTAGTTACCTATATAAGATTATTATTATTTGAATATATTTATGAAATTCAACAAGATATGCAATGCTATTGGGTTTAAATATGCTAAACATAAACATAAAATATTAAAGCAATCAACACATAAGTTTGTTTTGTTTCATTCTTACCGTTGTAAAGTTGTTAGTGTTAGCACTTTTTTTCCTTGCCTTTTATTATTTGGTAGATACATTAAACAATGTCCAATTTAATTGACTTACAGAAAATTCTCTGTAATGTAATACAGCAAAAAAATGTTTTTGTGCTTTTTAAAACTGAAATACCAGTAAGTTTTTGAAATAAAGTATAATGAATGAAAATTGCCTGAATATTACATTTTTTATTAAAGTGTAATTTACACATAATACATGATTTTCAGGTGTGCAACATACTGACTCAACACCTACATATATTATGAAATGATCACCTCAATAAGTTACTGTCACCATACAACGTTTTTATACTGACTATATTTCCTATGCTGTATACCACATTCCCATGTGTTATTTATTTCATAAATGGATGACTGTACTTCTTAATATCTTTCAACTATTTTATCCATCTCCCTATTCCCCTACCCTCAGGCAATCATTAGTTTTCTGTATTTATGAGTCTCTTTCTGTTTTGGTTTGTTGATTCATTTGTTTTGGTTTTAAGAGTCCATATGTAAGTAAAGTCATATGATATTTGTCTCCTCTGCCTTATTTTGCTTAACATAATACTCTCTAGTTCTTTCTATGTTGTTAAAACAGATATTCTTTTTTACGGCTGAGTAATATTCTGGTGTGTGTGTGTGTGTGTGTGTGTGTGTGTGTTGTGTGTGTGTACCATATCTTTTTATCCATCATCTATTGATGGACACTTAGGTGGGCACTTTTGCTTTCATATCTTTGTTATTGTAAATAACGCTCTGATAAACATAAGGGGTGTATTCATTTTTTGAATTAGTGTTTTGATTTTATTTGGTTAAATACCCACAAGTGGAATTGTTGGATCATATGGTAGTTCTATTTTTAATATTTTACAGAATCTCCATGCTGTTTTCCACAGTGGCTGTACCAATTTACATTTCCACCAACAGGGCACAAGGATTCCCTTTTCCCACATCCTCACCAACACATTTTCTTTCTTGTCTTTTTGAAAATAACCATTCTGAGAGATGTGAAATGATACCTCACTGTGGTATTAATTTGCATTTCTTTCATGATTAGTGATATTGAGCATTTTTTCATGTTGGCCACATAAAATATGGTACAATAAATACAATTATTTGAATATTATTTTTCTTTAAGTGATGGGTATACTTTATAAAATAAGTCATTTTATAAAAATGAAAAGGTCACAATTTACATATATTTGTTAAAGATTAACTATATGGCTAGGAAAATAAATAAAATAATAGTCATCAAGAAATCATTAAGTCTAGGGTGCCTGGGTGGTTCAGTTGCTTAAACCACAGCCTTGGCTTGGGTCATGATCCTGGAGTCACAGAATCGAGTCCCGCATTGGGCTTCCTGATCAGTGGGGAGTCTGCTTCTCCTTCTTACCCTCACCCCTCTTGTGTTCTCTCTCTCTCTCAAATAAATAAATAAAATCTTTAAAAAAAATCCTCTAAAGAATTAATTCTAAAAAAAATCATTAAGTCTTGATATAGCTTTTAAAACTAATCACATTATTGTCACATATATTCTTAACATTTTATTTATTTATTTATTTATTTAGAGAGCATGAGTGGCAGAAAGAGAGGGAGAGACACCCAAGTAAGCTCCACGCTAAACACAGAGTCCGACCCTAGGCTCAATCCCACAACCCTGAGATCATAACCTGAGCAGAAACCAATAGTCCAGTGTTCAACTGACTGAGGCACCCAGATGGCCCCATCTTCTTTTTAATTATCCAGGTTTGAAACTGGACATTTCTAAGATTTTCTGCAAACTACTTATTATTAGAAATAGGCTCTAGACCACATACAGAACTTCTGGCTCATAATTGTTTAAGATTTCTTGTAATTGTTATGTATATCTATATATATTGCAAACTATCATACAAGCAGTCATAGACTTACACATCAAGGTAATTGCACATTCCTTCTACACATGCATTAGCCTTTGATTCATTTCTTCTTTTTCAGACAATAGTAGAAATCATATTTTTATTATGTGGTCATTATTAATTTAAATACAACCATTTTCTTGCAACTTTCTACTTTATAGTAAAAGCATTATTTTCAAATGTCCTCTCACTTATTATTACAATCTAAACTTTCTGAAACCACCTCATTAAATAAGTTTAGTCTAAGTCTTTCCAAAGATGACAATAATTATTAGTTTGATAACCATATTTTATGCAAAGATAGGAATAACACAAACAACTCCATTAGTACACAAATAAACTGGAAACATTTGTGTAAATAATCAGGATAATATTGTTAACATAGGTAATGTGATGAGGCACAAATTTGGAGTCTGGAAAAGTTCTCCCTAATTTAGAAAGTACTGGCAAAAAGATACAGGGAAATTTATTTTCATTCTAAAAGTTAGAAAATCAATTCCATGACAGATCTCTGCACTTGTTTTTTTCTCTTTTCTTTATCATAATCCCTTTCTGGTTCATTTCTGCATATTTAAATCCTACATGTCTTTGAGGTAAATATTAGAACCTACCTTCCCAAAGAATTTTAAACAGGTTAAGCATATTTTAAATAATTCTTTTCCATACTATATATGCTTTCTGTTCCTATTAAAAGTTCTACCTACTTTACTCTAAATTATTTTTAAACTGTTTGATGGGGCGCCTGGGTGGCTCAGTTGGTTAAGCGACTGCCTCGGGCTCAGGTCGTGATCCTGGAGTCCCAGGATCAAGTCCCGCATCGGGCTCCCTGCTCAGCAGGGAGTCTGCTTCTCTCTCTGACCTTCCCCCCTCTCATGTACTCTCTCTCTCACTCTCTCTCTCAAATAAATAAATAAAATCTTTAAAAAAAATAAACTGTTTGATGCATTAAATTGTGAGCTTTAAGATTTTCAGAAAAGAAATATTGTTCAAATAAATACAAGAGGTTGAAAGTGCTCACTAGCAAAAACCATACAATGTACAACACAAAGAATGAACTCTGATGTAAACTATGGACCTTGGGAAATAATGATTTGTCAATGGAGGTTCATGAATTGTAACAATTGTACTACTCTGATGTGAAATGTTGGTGGGAGCTGTGTGAGAGCAGAGGGTATATAAGAACTCTGTGTATTTGCTACTTAGTTTTGCTATGAATCTAAAACTGCTCTAAAATTAAAGTCTATAAAAAATGCTTCCTAGTAATTATAGACGTTGTCATGATGTTTAAGTTATGAGTAAACATTATGGTAAAATTGTAAAATAAAAATCCAATTTAAATAAACCTCATATAAATATTTCTAAGTAAATAACAAAGACAACTCTTAATGAGGTAAATTTGGCTATTAATGAAATTAAATAGTATAGTTTTAATTTACTGTAAAAGAATCCCTATGTGAAAGAGATTTGGCCAGTATAAATACCTGGAGTAAAGTTTTTGCTTAATATTTTGCTTACATATAAGTAAAATACTTTTTTTTTGATGCTAAGAAAATGGGTTTTATTGCTTATATTACTTGCCTTTGTCTACCAGGAATTTGTATTTGTCAACTATGTATCATAAGAAAAACCAATATTCTTGAAAATAATTTCAGTTGTAGATTATAAATAATAATAATATTGTAACTTGTTCAAATATGAAGGAGAAAATAATTTTGTGAAAAACTAAGAGTATTGTGGATTAGAGTTAGATATGAAAATATAGTCAAGAGGTATATAGCACATTATTTCTGAGTTTCCTGTAAAAATAAGATTTCCATACACTGTTTCCATCATAATATTGAACTTACTCTTACAGATACATTTGAACCAATTTGAGAAAACTGTAACATAAATTCTAAATTATGTATAAAACTTACATGCTTTGTGGAATTTTTGTTTAACATCATGAATAGTGGATGTTTGCACCACCTGAAAAGGAAAAGAAAATATAGAGAATTATTTTAAAAAAGTATTTATTTGTTTGCTATATTATTAAGAAGAAAACATAATTTAGTAAAGTACAAAATTATTATGAAATAACCAGTGTGTTTTGTTTGACTTTTTATTCATTACTGCTTTGACCACTTTGAAATATTGCATCTATATGCCTTTATCTAAAATTTTAGTTTTTATGAGCAATAATGATGTAATTATATGAGGTTATTAAATGGTCATCTCAAAAATATATTTTTGAATCTTCTTTGTCCGTAATATTCAATTTCTGGTTTCCAAACTGGAGAGACTACCAATTAAAATATGAATAAATATACAAGATATACAGAAGGTAAAAGAGTTTGTAACAGAGAGGCTTCAGTATATGAAGTTGATTTATATGGGCAAAAGAGGAAAATGTTTACTACAGAATATCATCTGAAAAAATATTCTATCCAAGCCCCCTCATTAGTTATGTCATTAAATCTCCCATCTCAAAATGTTATGTCTATCAAAATTCATGTTAGATATATTAGATATAAAATCAGATATATTAGTATTTATTCATGTTAAATATATGGATTCATCAGGATTGCAAAATGTATGAGGATGAGAATTCTATTTAAACACCTCAAGCCAATACAACATTTTTTTGACTCTCTGACTGTTCATATCAAACTTGCTAACTGAAATTTTTTTCTACCTCTGGTCCCTTTCATTGGCTTATGAAAAAACTCAACAATACTTCAAGAGCTATAACAAAGGACAAATCCATGGCCATGTAAGAAAATATATTTCCTTTCTCTAAACACATATAGAATATTGTGTTCATGATGTATTTTATTGCTACACTAAAATCTTACAGCTATTTTGAGAGAGTGAAGTGAATAATAAAAGTGCATAAGGGATGGCACATAATAACACCCCAGGCAGTTCTAATTAACATTATCATATTATATTTAATATTTAATTGAATATTAAAGGTATAACAATGAATGCATTGATTTTACCACATTCCACTCTCTGATTAATAGGTCTATAACCAAGGGTGGGCTACATTATTCATAGAATGTTTTCTTTCTAATTTCTTCTATGCATATGGTTTACTAAATAAAAAAGTTCTAAGATTGAAGCACAGAATGATGATATTAATTCCCATTTGGGTAGTGCTGTAAAGAACGAAAGAACCTTAAAGAATCTGTATGAAAATTTCAAATATTTCATAACATTGCTCTTATTTGGAAGAGGTTATAAATATTTATAAAACAGTTTTTAGATAGGGTAATATATATTTATATACTTGAATATATACTTCATTTTAATATTGATAATTTAACTCTTATATTTGAATTATATTTTTTAAATCATGGTACTTTGTTTAAACGTTGTTCTGGGGGCGCCTGGGTGGCTCAGTTGGTTAAGCGACTGCCTTCGGCTCAGGTCATGATCCTGGAGTCCCGGGATCGAGTCCCACATTGGGCTCCCTGCTCAGCGGGGAGTCTGCTTCTCCCTCTGACCCTCTTCCCTCTCGTGCTCTCTCTCATTCTCTCTCTCAAATAAATAAATAAAATCCTAAAAAAAAAAAACAAAACGTTGTTCTGGTTTTATCTTACCACTACTTAAACACAAAGCAATTTTATATGTTTTGTCCCTGATAAGGATGCCTAAAATCCATATACTATTTTCTAGAGTATCAATTATTTGTCCACCCCTCATTTCAAGAACCATTTAATTTGGAAAAACAAATAATTTTCATGATCAATAACTCCTTAGAGTTCACTGTTGCTCAGCTCTCACTTGATGAAGGCATATTATCTTGTGTTTACATGCTAGTTGTTTGAACCATCTCTGAAGTCCTTGAGGACAAAGACCTGGTGTTATTGCAGTCTGCATTTCAACACTAGTGCACCATATAAAATGTAATAATGTTTAACATCACTTCTGTTGAAACAAAAAATAAAGCTGTGAGTACAAATTCATGTGAAAACAGAAGTTTTTAAATCTGGTATGAAAAATCTTTCTCAAGTAGATTTTTGTGGAAAAGCTATGTTTTCCTAGAATAATTTAAAAGAAAGTGCTGGGAATTGTGTAAGACTGTTGAATCACAGACCTGTACCTCTGAAACAAATAATACATTGTATGTTAAAAAAAAAAAAGATAGCAGGAAGAGAATAATGAAGGGGGGAGATTGGAAGAGGAGATGAACTATGAGAGACTATGGACTCTGAGAAACAAACTGAGGGTTCTAGAGGGGAGGGGGGTGGGGGATGGGTTAGCCTGGTGATGCGTATTAAAGAGGGCACGTACTGAATGGAGCACTGGGTGTTATATGCAAACAATGAATCAAGGAACACTACATCAAAAACTAATGATGTAATGTATGGTGATTAACATAACATAATAATAAAAAATAAAATTAAAAAAGTAAATAAAAAATAAAAGAAAGTTTTCTAATTTGATATATGCATTTTTTCTCTGAATTTGCAAATTTTCAAAACTAAGGTTATATTCTCTTGAAGGAAACCTATGTGTGGAAATGGGTTGTTATTGCAAGCTTTTAACAAAGTTTTTAATTAACTTTTTAAAAACTACATTTGACTTTCACATGTTAGAAAAGTGCTGATTTTGAATAAATCTTTGAGAACTGCCCTAGCTGGAGCAATTTTAGTCAAATACAGAAGAAAAAAAAAATAATTAACTATTAAATGATTCAGACAGTATTGCTCAATTAACCACAAGACTGTGCTTGATCAACTCCTCCAGGCCTTCTTTTGTACTCAGAACACAAAGAGAGGAAAATATGATAATTACCAGAGTATGTAAGACTTTCTGATTACTAAAATCGATGTCTCTGTAGCTTCATCAGGAAGTTTATTCATAACTTCTACTTTTTAGCCAGTTTTAATACCTCTTAAAAAAGACAAACTATCAACACAATAATTTATTCACTTTTATAAATCACAATTAATTGTGCAGACGGGAGACATAAGTATTCTGACATCTGAAATCCTGAAATTCTCTTAATTAATGTTTCTTTCTCATTAGAGGAAATTGATCTTAAAATGTCAAATAGACAAGGTAAATGGTGTTTGTAATTGAATCAAAAATTTACTTTTAATTCCAACTGATCGTGATTGAGCTTTGGATCATTATTACTATATCCAACAATTTAAATTGATAGACTTTGAAAATGCTTTTCACATTCAAGTGAAATCTAGGATTTGCTTGAATTTGCTTCCTACACAGATACTGCAATATTACACAATAAAACTCTTTTTGTACTATTGCTACTTTTTAGAACTAAATTTTAGCTACTTTCTCAGGAACTCCTTGAAATGAACAGATGTCTTCAGAACACTGCTTATCCTGTTTAAAGAAATGAAAATTAAGGGATAAGGAAAAACAACAACCTCTCTGAAATTCATTTGACAGTAATTGCAATGAGCATACCAAAAATTGTCAGTAAATTTTGTTTAGAAAAGAAATGTGTCCAGCAGTAAAGACACAGAAAAACAGAATAAAAATGAATTGAATAGAAATGAATAAATGCAGAGGCATGAAAATACACACATGCACATACAGGCAAAATATCTGGTGCAGTTTTGCTAACTGGCATGAGCTTTTGTTCCTGGTTTTCGGGACACGAGGAAGAGTACTAGCCTGGAGAATCATATTTTAAGATTGATTAATTCAGGAAAGTGAAAATTATTCCTCCAAGAATTTCCATTGGAAGTTTTTACATTAACAAATAGAATACATACTTGCATATACTGCATATATTTCACTCAGAATGGATAGGAAGTATTCTGAGTAAACAGATATTTTACAATAAGTAATCTTCAGATAGTAACTAAAAATATATTTATGATATATTTGTTCAGTTTTATTGAGGTATAATTGACAAATTAAATGTTAAGATACTAAAAATGTGCCATATGAGGATTTGATATACATATACATTGTTTGTTAAAGAATTTCCCCCATTGAGTTAATTAACGCATCTATCACCTCACATTTTTTGTCTTTGGTGAGGACATTTAAGTTCTACTCTCTTAACAACTTTCAATCATACAACACAGTGTTATCAGCTATAGTCATCAGGTTATACAATAGAGTCACTGACTTTATTCATCTTATAACTGAAATTTTGTACTATTTTACCCCCACCCCCCAGCCCCTGGAAACCACTTTTCTATTCTCTATTTCTAGGAATTCATTTTTTTTATTCCATATATAAGTGATATCATGCTTTGTCTTTGTCTTTGTATTTGTCTTTCTCACTGTGACTTTATTTAACTTAGCATAATGCCTTCCAGCTTTATCCATGTTATTGTAAATCGCAAAATTTCCTTTTTTTGGTTGCTGAATAATATTCCATTTTATATCACACACACACACACACACACACACTAAATTTCTTTTATTCATTCAACTGTCAATAGACACTTAGGTGGTTTCCATACTTTGGCTTTTGTAAACAATGCTGCAATAAACATGGGGGTACAGATATTTCTTTGAGATCTCATTTTACTTCTTTTGGATATATACCTCAAAATTAGATGAATGGATCATATGATAGTTCTATTTTTTTATTTAATTTAATTTAATTTAATTAATTCAATTTTATTTTCTATTTTTTTGAGAGAGAGAGATAATGCAAGCGGGTAGGGAGGGGCAGAGGGAGAGGGAGAGAGAGAGAATCTTAACCAGGCTTCATGCCCAGCTAGTCTGACGTGGGGCTCAATCTTACAACCCTGAGATCATGACCTGAGCTGAAATCAAAAGTCGGACGCTTAACCCACTGAGCCACCCAGGGACCCCTATTTTTTATGATAGTTCTATTTTTAATTTCTTGTGGAACCTCCATACTGTCTTCCAAAATGGCTGTACTGATTTACATTCCCACCAACAGCGTACAGGGTTCCCTTTACTCCACATCCTGGACAACACTTGGTATCTTTTGTCTTTTTGAAGATAACCATTGTTAACAGTTGCAA